CTAATCAAGCGAGCCCATCTGGGGTCGCAGAAATGCGGGTCGCTTCAGGTCAAGAGTATTTCCGCTTTTGAAAACAATTTGGGTGCTTTCTAGAAGCTGGCGACTTACTGTCCACGGTGTGGTAGCAGCTACACGGCTAAGCTGCCGAGTGATCTGGACCTCGGTGTGGTCTATGCCTCAGCCTCAGGTTGTGATCGCCCTTCAGTCATCAGATCTGTCTGCACGTTGGACATCCTTGTCACTGGTCGAAAGTGTCTTTCCTGAAGTCTACCTCTTGAGACCGCGAAGCGGCAATTCATCAATTGGTGAAGTATACCAACTTATTTGTGCTTCCGTTGACCATCTAACGTATATGAATAATTCAATGCCTTTGCTTTGTCACGCTTCCTTCCCATCGCTTAACAAGCATTCATTTCATTGCCCCTTCTTGTGTTCAGAAGGGAGAGGGCTTCTGCTTTGCTTGGCACAGGGGTAAGACAGGTACCAAAGTAATCGCCAGACATGCAAGTGGTCGCACACAGTCTTCACGAACTTTATGCATCATAAAATGCATGGACCTCATTGAAGAGCTTCACTTGCACTTTTTACCCTTAGTCACCTACTTTCATCACTCTTCTGCCTTCACACCCCAGTTGTTGCAATTTTGTGTGTGAACTGCTAGGGTGTGAATTCTTATTCAAGGCCCAGCACGCGCACTACCGACTTCATGCTAAGAATGGGTAGTCGCAAAAACCAAAAGGCTCTGATGGGTTTCGTTTACGCAACTATGCAATCCTTTGTCTATATGGTCATCTGTATGGCTGGCGGTCACTTTGGGGCCACCTCGCTTCTGCCCTGTGAGCCGGCCTTGGACTCAGGTCGTAGCCTTTCGACCTCGGAGCCTCGGAGCATTACAGCTAAGGCTTCAAAAGCTGGCTTACCATGAAGAGGACCGTCACCTTCTTTGAACGCATCATCCTTTATCTGGCAACCAGGCTTTTTCGTGAATGAGTTTGAACCCATAAGTCACAAAATTTAATATGCTATACTACTATGTGAAGGCTTAGATGCTTAAAAGAATCTAGAGTGGATCTACACTCCTTCGTTGAAATAAGAGAACAAATCATACGAGAACTGGTTGGCTATAGCCCTTAAAAAGAGAATGATGGGAGGCTTTTGAAGGACCTTTACCACAACCACCAGCAATTTTATGATATTTTCAAAAGCATATTGGCTGTGCACCTCTCATCCACGCTGTACCGCCTCTAGTAGTTTTATTGATGTATTTGTCAAATGTGTTATGTCGCCTTGAATCTTTGCTGACACTAAAGTAGACACAACTATGGGATCAGTGATGTTTACCGACGCAATGAAGATATGTAAGAGTGAATTGCCGCCGTGCCTGCTAAGTAATGCCTGCTAGGGGAAATACAGAGGCATGCCAACGTGCAGACTAAATAAATCTTTTCTATTTCAGACCTCCGGTGCTTCGTCGAGCAGATTCTCTACAAATGGTAAAATGAAGGTTCGGGTGAGTGGTGTCCTTACATCAAAATTAAAAGCCAATCCTTGCCTTACGATGGCACTCCTCACTGTCCTTTCCACACATTTAATTACACGCGCCACAGCTAATTTACCAATTAACGATCGAGTGGGATTCAAATTATTGATTATTTGGTTAAGTTGTCTGACCGCCTGATTGCACAGTTTGATAAACATAGTATAAGAAAATTTTCAGCCTAATCAAGGAAGAATTTATCCATTTATCTGACTTTCCACGATGCCTCTTGTAGGTAGGCTGCTGTCACTCATTACTCCTTCAAATGCACGACCTTATTGTCCCTCAGGCAGACGATAATATGAAAAATGTGCATTTTTGTGACTAATAATCCATAAATTAGCGTTAGTAATTACTATTCCTTCCACCAGACGTTATCGGCTTTGTCATTTTTATCAATTATCAGATTCCATCATACAAATGGCAGATGACGATGTTGATGACAAGTGTCCTCCTGAAAGGAATCTTGAACAAATTCCCGAATCTGTCCGAGGAGTCATTGACCAGATTGTCACGATACGATTTAAACCGGATAAGATCAGTGAGGCAATTTCCGCCTCCATTCCACCACCTATTCACCCACCAACTGCTAGGGAATACGATCAACACAAATTTTTAGAGGTAAGATTATAAGCTTCCTTTTTCTATTGAAAAATCTTTTATATTCAGATTATGAATCTGAAGTTGAAGTTGGATTCCGACTATATACAATCGTTCAATAGTTCCCCTTCCTCCGAAGTCGCAATTTCAACAGACTTTCGTCCATTCATTGTTCAATGGATGATACACGTATGACAGCCCCAATTTCACTGCGTTGACACTGATTTGAATACCTTTGCTATTCTATTTTTCTTACATTTTAAAGATGCATCAATGGATGGGGATCCCGACGAGGGCTTTGCATACAGCTGTGGGTCTGATGGATCTGTGCGCTCAAATTCAGCCCATCGCATGTCAAGATTATCAAACATTGGCCATGGCCGCTCTAATTACAGCCGCATTGCAATGGCAATCTGGTTTTAAGGTTGACCTTGTAAAACTGTCTGAAGTTACTGTTGATGAAATGGATCCGCAACAGGTCAGTGACTGCGCCATCTTTCCATTTCTGGTATTAACTTTAATCTCCAAGTTAATTGGCTTTTAGATAGAAACAATGGTGAGGCTGATAAGGTCTTGGGTTGGAAGCAGAGCTAATTTTCCAATTCCTCATGAATTTTTGGACATCTTTATTTTTGGCATCCTTGACTTCAATTTAGTTACAAGGGAATGGGTAAATTTGCTTAATTTATTACAAGTTGTTTAACTGTTGAGGTAATTTCAAAAATAAATTTCTCGCCTTTTCTCTAGACTAGAAAGGCTTGCAATTACATCTTTGATTTGGGTCTTCAAGACGAGCGATTGTGTCGCTACTCAGCAAGTCTACGATGTGCTGCGGTTCTCTACCTTATTCGTTACATTTTGAGGCGAAAATGCAATTGCTCGCGTTCCAAATCGGGCGGTGGAAAGTGTTGTCATTTTCGTAGCATTCCTTTGTGGTCTGAGACATTGGCAAAATTTACAAGTCATCACAACACACCAATACTTCGACGTGTTGCTGCCATCTACTTGGACGCTCTAATGTTTGTCCAACAATATGGCGTCCAATATTATCAGCGAAGCCATTTGAGTTCGCCAAACTCGGTATGTTGAAGGATTTGGTGAAGGAGGGGTAAAAAATGATCAAAATAAGTCTTCATCTCTATCGTTCCCTTTTCTGATCCACGTAGATCGTTTTTAACAAGTACATGAGATCGGAATATAAACGCATTGCAATGGA